AGAAGGGCTCACTGGGTTAGGGAGGCAACAACTAATGGCCTTCGGCTTTCCTTGGGCGTCGTGGTCGTGTGTTCCTGAAGCCTGAACGGAATATAACAGGTCTGAGGTTCCCAGATCCATTTCCGTGGATGGGCATGGGCTATGGATCTGTCAAAAGGTCTTGGTTAGTCTCGATCCTTCCAAACGAAAAACAGGATTATTAAAAAAAAAAAAAAAAAAAAATCCAAATGGTGATTTCATATTCAGGCTAAAACTTCCAAGGGCTTCCCCATTTGCTCTGAGGCTTCAACGCCAGGGGCAATGGGAAGGGCTCACGCAGCTCAACCTTGGGCTAAGTGATCTGATTCTTCCCATTCCAGCCTCCTACAGGACATGCCCCCGTCATTCTGCCCCTGATTCTGGGTTTTTTCCCCCTTGGGTTCTACCTTGTGCCTTTCTCTCACTCTCTAATAAGTCACATTTCCGTTCCACGCCAATGGCCTGGAACATGCGCTTTTTCCTGAAGGTACCCTTCCCACACTTTACTTGGGCATTATTATTCAAGCTTTGGGTTTCAGATGTAATGTCATTTCCTCAAAAAGACTTTCCTTGACCTCCATCCCCCACTTGGGCTAAGTTTGTGTGTCTCTCTTCACAGTACTTACCATAATTTTAAGTATTTGTTGGAATTAGGTGATTGCTGGTCTCCCAGTTAATATAATCCAAATGGCACCTCATGTTCATTACCGGTAATTTCTTTTTTTAGGGACAGGCTCGGCTGTTGCCAGGGTTGGAGGTAGTGGGCAAATTATGGCTTACTGTGGCCCAAACCTCCTGGGCCCAAGGTGATTTTTTATCCTCCCACCTCAGACTCCTGAGGGTAGCTGGGGACTTAAGGCACATGCACCACACGGTATTACATGTTTTTTTTGTGAGATGGAATCTCCCACCTATGTTGCCCAGGATGTCTTTCTCTGGGCTCCGGCTGGGGGCTCCCAAGTGGCTTGGTATCACAGCATGACCCCACTGACTCAGGGGCAACTACTATAATTTATTGCAGTATCAAAAAAACCACAGCGTTTTATTTTTTTTTTTTTTTTGGATGGAGTTCGGCTCTTGTTGCCCCAGGGCTGGAGTGCAATGGCGCCATTTCTCGGTACTTTGCACCTCTGCTCCCAGGTTCACGCACTTCTCCTGCTTTAGCCTCCCTAGGTTAGGCTGGGATTACCGGCATTGTGCCACCACGCCTGGGCTACTTTTTACTTATTGGTAGAGACGGGGTTTCTCCATCTTGGTCGGTTGGTCTCCGAATCCCCACCTCAGGTGATCATCCACTCAGCCTCAAGGACTTGGGGATTACAGGTTGGCCGGGCCACAAATGCATTTTAAGAATAACTCTTCTTGAAAGAAAGGGGATCAAGGGATTAACACAGGAGGTGTTTTACCCCTAACGCCCAATTTCAAGTTTAAATGGTCAACAATTTTTTTTTTGAGATGGATCTTGGCTTGTAACCCAGACTGAAGTGCAGTGGCACGTCTGGCTCACTGCACCTCCCACTTCATGGGCTCAAGTATTCTTTTCCCTTGCCTCGCTTCACGAGTGGCTGGGATTATGGTGCCCCCCACCGCTAATTTTTTGCATCTTATTTTTAGTAGGGATTGGGGTTTCACATGTTGCCCGTTGTTATCGACTCCTGACCTGGTGTGCATTCCGCCGTTCAGCCTCCAGTTGGCTGGGATTATAGGCATGAGCCACTGTGCTGGCTAATGGTTCCAAACACTATTTATCTTCCTGACATATTTTTAAAAAATAAGCTTGACTGGCTGGGCGAGTGGTCCGCCTGTAATCCAGCACTTCGGGGAGGCTGAGGCAGGTGGTTCACCGAGGTTCGGGATCGGAGACCTTCCTGGGTAACACGGTTGAAACCCCGTCTTTACTAAATACAAAACATTAAGCCCGGTAGTGGCGTGCCTGTGTATTGGTGTGTGTGGTGTTATGTGTGTGTGTTGTTATATATATATATATAAAAATCTTTGCTTTTTCTTATGGAAAAGCTGTCACTAAATGAAACGGAATAAAATGACACTTTTATACTGGAAGTAGTGGTTAGTGGGAGGGAAGCTGGCCTGGTTTTTTGGAAAGGTACACCCAGCCTATCAAGAAGCAAATTAAAGAGTGCGTTGAATTCCTGGTCTGTCTTTCCTAGTGTATCTCCTTCTTGCAGAAGTATTTACCTCTTAGAGCCTCAGGTTCCTTACCAGGGAGCTACATAACATCCTTTAACCCTGTAAGGTATTGGGCTAAAATTAAAGGGGAGGCTTGGTGTAAAGTACAAGTCACAATGGCCGCATACAGGGAATCTGCTTTTTTTTCTGAGAGACGGACGGGAGTCGCGCTCATCACCAGGCTGGGAATGCAGAGGGCGCGATCTTGGCTTCCACTGCAACCTTCTTGGCCCTAGGGTCAAGCGATTCTCCTGCCTCGGCCTCTCCAAGTTACCTGGCATTGGCAGGCGCGCGCACCACACCCGGGCTATATTTGCTTTTTAGTAGGACACGGGAGGTTTTTGCATTTGGCCAGCTGGTCTTGAACTTCCTGACCTCCACTTTATCCGGGCCCACCTCGGCCTCGAAAATGCTGGGATTACCAGACTTTCAGCCACCGGCGCGGCCCAGAAGCTTTAATTACATTATAACTGTTTACTTGGTTTTAGGATGGTTAATAAGAAGTTTTCCCTTTGTAGGCCCTTAGTTCCGTTTCTGGATGGCCTATGTGTAAATGCAAGGGACTTTAACAAAACGGGGCTCGGGGCCAGTCCCTGCTCTCAGGAGTCAAATTCCGGCGATTTTTGGCATCAGTGGGCAGACTAAGCTTTTATGCAGGAAAGGACTATACCAAGTGGTCTCAGCTTTTCATTTTAATCTGAAGAAAGTATTACAGGCTTATCCGTCTTCACGATATAAATTTATTTATAAGGTTACGGAACAGCAGAATTTTCCAAACCACTTAAGAACTAAGAAGTCTACCACGTGTTTATGCTGGCCCACAAGTCCTCCGGATCTGGTTTTTTAAAACAAGTCCCCGGGGGCCCCCATTTCAGTAGACGTTGCCTGGCCGTAGAGGACGTCCAAGAACAGGACGTAGGGTGAAGGCCCCCGGATGAGGCCTCCTGTAAAGGAGAGGTCTCCGTGATTGAATATTTGTTTGCACCCTCCTTCCGCCTTGATGGAATGGGAGCAGGGGGAGCAGGACGGAGGCGAGCAGGTAGAAGGATGAGCCGTAAGAGCGTGAGGGCGAGGGATGCCGGCGTGGCCGACAGCGTGGACACCGAGTCCGGCAATAATCCAGGACGGCGGGCGTTGCCCCGCACGGCCGCCTCGTGATGAACGGGCGGGCCCTTCCCGCCTTGGCACACCGAGGGGCCATCGACCCGCCGGGGCTCGGGGCTCTTCGCTTTCTCGCGGGAACCAACGCGGAGTGCGGAGGAAAAACCAAGTTACAGCGCGGCCCCGGGCTCGGTGGAGTTGGTTTCACGCCGGCCCCTTCCCTGGATGCTTTCCGAGCCTGCACCAACTGGCCCCTCGGACCTTCCAAAACGCACGAGGAAGATTGAGGGTCCGAGCCGGCCCGGGACGGTGGCGGGATCTTGCTTCCCCGGCCACGCTGGCCCGTTACCTGGAAACGGCGCCGGACACAGTATTAGGGTTCCTCAGACGGGCAGGGGAAGCGTGCCTGCGGCGCCATCTGTCTGGAAAGGCTGTCGGGAGCCGGGCTGGCGGCACGGCCATTC